TGCTTTATGTTTCTCCAAAGCATTACCATTAAGTATAATATGTATCTACTAGACTATAAACTCTATGAAGACATTTTTATCTTTTGCTCTTAGCTACATCCTTAGTGCCAGGCACAAAGATATTTTCAGTAAATAGTTGTTGAATGAATAAATGAATGAATATATCAATATTAGAGGAACTAAGAGGAGGAATTTGGATATTTTTCCACAGCTGTGTAGCCTTCAAACTAGATTATTTTCCTACCCAGAAATTATCAAAGCTACATTTATTAAGTTCTATTTCTACTTATACTAGCTTAGTAGGTTTTTACAAGAGCTCCAATCTGTAGTAGTTTTCTATTGTTATGTAACAAATTACCTCAAACTTAGTGGCTCAAATCAACCATCATTTATTATCTCACGGTTTCTGTAGTCAAAATTTTGGGCATTCAAGTTGCATTCTATGCTTACGATCCCATGAAGCTGAACTAAGGTGTTGATTCATCCTCTTCCAAGCTGTCTGTTGGCAGAATTTAGTTCTTCGTAGTTGTAGGACCAATGCCCTTAGTCCTTGATACCACCCACTGTTTCCGCCCAAATCCTTTTAAATCCTTTTTAAAAGATTGCTTGATTAGGTCAGGGCCACCCAGGATAATCTTCATTTTGATCAACATAGATCAACTGATTAGGAACTTTAATTATGTTCACAAAATCTCTTCATCTTTGTTATATAACATGACCCCAGTTATGGGAGTAAAATATCATCATATTCACAAGTCCTGACCACAGTCAAGGGGAGGGGATTATACAGGGAAAGTACATCAGGAGTTGGGACTCTTTAGGAACACTTAGAATTCTTCCTACCACACTTGTCCACTTGAAACTTCCTAATCAATAAGAATTCCTATCAGTAATAACTCAATAGAAAAATTGGCAAAAGTTATGGAGATTTTACAGAAGAAGGAATTTGAATGCTAGTAAACACATAGAAAGATGTCTGACCACATTATTAACAAATAAAATGCAGATTAAAACCACAATAAGGTATCATTTTGTACCAGTAGATGGACAGAAATTTAAAATAGATGATCAACCATTAGAATGTTAGAATTCTTCCTTCCTTCCTGGAGGAAATGTGTGTATACTGCTTTAAAGATATTTTGGCTTTATGTAGAAAAACCTGAGGTTGTGTCACATAGAATTCCACTTCTTGATATATATCTTAAAGATTGTACATGTGAAAACAGACATAAGTAAGAAGGTAAGTAGGAGAATCATTAGTAACAGGAAAAATATGGAACACCAAGATATCCTTTGATATCTGTCCCGTTGTGTCCTTTATTTTATAAAGACATTGGATTTGAAGCACACCCTAATCCAGTATGATATCATCTTAAATTAACTAATATATTTGCAAAGGCCCTATTCCTAAATTAAGGTCATATTCTGAGGTTTGGGGTGGGTATGAATTTTGAGGGGACACAATTTATCCAAGAACCTTATGCTTATTGTTGCATGACACTAGTGCTCATTCATTTGAACCTGTTGATGGGCACGTGGGTTGTTTTCAGGTTCTTCCTTTGAACCATGCGCTGACATAAATATCCTTGTACTTGTTTCCCTGAACACACATGCAAGTTTCTTTAGAGTGTATACTTAGGACTGGACTCACTGAATCACAGAGTATGGAAATGTCCAACATTATGATATACTACTAAACTAATTTCGAAAGTGACTGCAACCAGTCAACATCTCACCAGCAAAGTATAATTTGCTCCACATTCTCATCAACACTTGGAATTCTTAGGCTTTTAATTTTGCCAAATGTAAATTTTTATCATCTTGATTTATGTTTCCCTAATAACTAATGAAGTTGAAAAACCTTTTCATATGATTTTTATAATATTCATGTTACTGAGTTACATGAGTTTTTTCTATGAAATGCTTGTTCATGTCTCTTGCCATGTATGAATTGGGTTCGTTATGCTTTATGTAATGATTAGGTGTTGTTCCTGCTACCAGTCTCTGGGCAGCTTGTGTCCTATTTATCTGTCTCAGTTGATAACTTGTCTTTTCATTCTCTTGTCATCTGATGAAACAAAGTTCTTATTTTAATGTACTCAAATTTATCAATCTTTTATATTTCTTGTGTGTTCTATTTAACAAGTCTTTCTATTACTGCTATTTGCTGATTTTTTTACTACAGTTTCAGTTATGTTTTTTACTTTGAATCATTAATCCACTTAGGGTTGCTTTTTACATATGGTGCCGATTCAATTTCTTTTATGATTTTTGGCCTATCTAGCTTTCTTTCCTTTTGTGGCAATTTCTTCATCTAGGTTTCTTCATCTAGAAAACTTCCTATTTCATTAAAGCTTTCAAACAGATTACTCAAAATAATAATAAGATTCTCTTTTGAGTTTTAATTTTTTATCTCTGTAATGTCCTCTTCTCCTTTTAATGATTTTTATGTATCTTCCCTATTTTCTTTACCCTTCTTAAAAACTCTTTGAGTTTTTCACTCTCTACAGAGGACCAACTCATGGTTTTATTATCTCTACCTGTTCTTTTCCTACTTATTTTATTAATAACTGTTCATATTAGTTCCTCCTTTCCAGTTTCTTTGGAAGTATTTAAGAGAACTTTACTATAATGTGATTGAATTAAAGTTTAGTTATTTTGTTGTTGTTGTTATCATTAATCTACAATTACATGAAGAACATTATGTTTACTAGGGTCCCCCCTTCACCAAGTCCCCCCAACAAACCCCATTACAGTCACTGTCCATCAGGATAGTAAGATGTAGAATCACTACTTGTCTTCTCTGTGTTGCACAGCCCTCCCCCCCCCACATTTTACATGCTAATCATAATACCCCCTTTCTTCTTCCCTGCCCTTACCCCTCTCTTCCCTCCCATTCTCCCCAGTCCCTTTCCCTTTGGTAACCGTTAGTCCATTCTTGGGTTCTGTGATTCTGCTGCTGTTTTGTTCCTTCAGTTTTCTTTGTTCTTATACTCCACATATGAGTGAAATCATTTGGTATTTGTCTTTCTCCACCTGGCTTATTTCACTGAGCATAATACCCTCTACCTCCATCCATGTTGTTGCAAATTGTACAATTTGTTTTCTTCTTATGGCTGAATAATATTCCATTGTGTATATGTACCACATAAAGTTTAGTTATTTTTTTCTCACTCTGCCTAGTATCTTAATACATGCATTTGAGGTTTTAGATTTTGTTCTGGGTATCACTTTGGATAATTCCTTAGAGTTCATCTACAGTACTATTGTTTTCCTCTTCATTCTAAATAGTTTGCATCTTATTAAAATATAGAATATCTGTTAATATTGTTTGCTTTGAAATCTGTATTATCTAATACCATTAACACACCTGCTTTGTTGTGGTAATATTTTCTTGTAAATGATTTTAAAAATTCCTTTCCTTTTTAGTTAAATGTTTACCATGAAATTTTCACACAAATACTAAAGAAGAGAGAACATTATAGTGAACTCTAGGTACCCATCACCTGTTTCAACATTTATCAACATTCTGTTAGTCTTATTTTATCCATCTATCCCTCCTCAGTGAAGTTTTTAAAGGTAATATATGCCTATAAATGGTTCCATATGAATCTCTGAAAAAGAAGTTTTCTTTATAACAATTACATTATGAACAAAATTAACAGTAATTCTTATGCCTCTGGTAAAAATGTGTGTTCATTAATGGGCTTCCACAGATTTTTCCCTCAGACCAAGCTTTGGGAGAAGAAACCTAAGCAGATTTCCTAGCAAGTCCACCCCTCTAACTGGTCCACAGGGGGACATAACTGGCCTGAAGATACCCAGCATGCTCACATCGGAGCCTAGGTCTAGTTTCCTCACCTCAAAACTTCCCCACTTGCTGGGACTGAAGCCAGACTTTCCGTAGGTAATAGAAACTCCTATGACTCTCAGGTAGAATTTCGTTGCAGAGGCAACTTTTAAGCTGGATTTTTAAGAATGTTTAGGAGTTCACCAGGTGAAAGGAACTGTGTCTTTATACCTCCCCATTGACACAGCCTTCCTAAAGGAGTTGGAGGAGTGCTGGCAGCTCCCGAGTTTAGGAGAAGCTAAGGGAAGAGGTAAAGACTGGACTTAAGGTTTCATTTATACAGTAAGGACATTGTTATTACTTAAAGTTTAATTTGTAAATAGAAATAACAGTTTTCCTAAGCTGCTTTTTATCACACGTTGGCCATATGAAAAACATTGTATTTTTATTCTTGCTACCTACTATAGTTCTACTTGCTGTGGTGGAGACTAATGGAAATTAACGGGGGTTCAAGTTTCTGTTCCCCACTCCAGCCCTTCATAAGGTGACACCTTCCCCTGGTGCTATCTCCCAGGAGAGTACTGGACCACCCCGACCTCCACACAATTTCCCTTGGTGGTTAACCCCCTGACGGTTGAACCACCTTTCTTGCAACCGACAGTCCATTCTAACTGTCGCTTTCGCCCCGGAACCGACTCTCGTCCTGACCTTTCCATACCCTCCCTGAGTAATTTATTTAAAAAAGCGGATTGTATCGTCCTGACTTCTACCCTTATCCCCAAGTGATTTCTCCCAGGATCCAACAGGAGCATACAAGACGTCTGTCTGTCCTGCCTTAGTGGTTTTTGCTCCCTTCTTCCCCAGCGGTTTCTCCCAGCAGAGAATTGCTCTCTGCATAGCGTTGTATCTCTACGGGCAATGTACCTTTTCTAAATATAACACGGAGCGCCATACCCCACTGCCAAGACCTTCCTCATCTCACAAGCCTACCCAACGAACGGTTTATTTCTTTGCTGTACGGCATGAACACACTTTCAAGATGGCGGCTCTCAAGCAGATGCACTGTTGGGGGAAGCCATGTTCTCTGCCCACAGTGCCCCTTACGGTCACTGCACAAAGTCCAGAACAACGTATCAGCGCCCTGTTGACTGTTGGCGGAACGCAGCTTCCAAGGTAACTCAGAGCATGCGCAATACCAGCCGTCCGTAGGGGCGGTGCTAGAGGCCAGACCGGAAGTAGAAGGGTCCTCGAAGGCTCTTGGGCCGTTGATATCTGGAGCATCTCCACATTTTATTCCCGAGAGGTATCAGAGTGATTTTGGTTGGCCATGATTAAGGATTCTGTGGGCCGGTGATGGGGGTGTTGTGTATAAAGTTAGTGATGGCGGTTTCTGCATTCAGTGATGGCGGGTCTGTGGCGTTCCTTGCCGGCTGTTTCGGAGGTCAGTAGTGAAGTCTCGGGTTAGTGATCGGGATCTTTAAGGTGAGCGAGAGATTTGTGGTCTCAGTGATGGGAGTCTGGTCAGTGACTGCGGGCCTGTGGGTCACCTTTCAGGGTCGGTGGGGGTCTATAAGGAGCTTGCTTTCTAAATGTTCACAAGCTTTGGTGTGTAGCATCTTATTGTTCAAATCTAAGTGGTTTAAAAACTTTTTAAGTTATTTTCTTTGACCGAGCAGTCATTCTGTGTTTCAAATAATTTCTCTGGATAATGCTTGAGATTAAAAATTACTTTGTGGGCTAGTTCACAGTCAGTTTTCATAAATGTCACATCAGTTACATAAAAACAATATGTTCTCTAATTATTTATTGTAATGTTCATATCTATATATCTCAAATTATTTTCTCTGCTTAATTACAGAGAAAGATAAACACACTGTAGAGGTGATTTGTCAACTTGTTTTTCCCCCTGTCAGTTTCTGCTTTACATATTTGAATTATTATTAGGAACACACTCATATGTTTTTAATAATAGATATGGCTAAATAACTCAAAAGATATTACAAGTAAAGCTTCCACAGATTTATAAAAGAGCTCATTTTCCCAAATGATTTCCAGCATTGGGTTTTGTTTTTTTATATGTTTTTATGATCCTGAGGAGAAATGATATCTAATTGTTGTAATGCCATTTTCCTATTAGCGAAGTTGGCATCTTTTTGGTTAATTGTCACTTAAAATTGCCTTTTCTGTGAATTTTTATATTCTTTATTTAGTTTTTTTTGTGGGCTTTTTGTCTTATTAACTGCTAGATGTTTTTCTTTAACAGTAGAGATAACCTATTGTCACATACTGAAAATGTATATGTAGTTATTTTTAAGTCATGTTTTAACATATAATTAGGAATGCCATCTAGTCAGAAATACTTTTTACTTTTATATCATCTGGGTTGTCTTAAGATCTCTCCTACCCCATCACGAGGTTATAAGCACATAATCCTAAAATTTATTTCAATATTCTTTGGGATTTTAAAAATACAAATACTATTTTTTTTACAAATACAAAATTGTGTTTTTTACAAATACAAGTACTACACCTTGGTGTTCCCAGGAAATGTTTATGTAATGAGTGTTGAATATATGACCACGTGGAAACATTTTCTTTCCAGGTTTCTAGGTGTCTCTGGGAGCTGTAGGGCAGGATCTTTCTCCAGACTGCCTTTTTCCCCCTCAACTCAACTGTGGTTGAGTTCACAGATGTCCACCAAGCTTTATACCCTGAAGAGAATAAAGTGTGAGACCTACCATGACGATGCCTGCTACCTGGACCCTTCCCCAGAAATCTCTGGCCCCGGCTCCAGAGGAGCACAGCAGCTCGTTTGAGGTGAGGACGAGAAATCCCAGGAGGTGGGAATCTCTGATCTGCCGTCAGCAGAGCCTCTGGGCAGAGGCATATGGGCCACAGGAAGCAACCAGACTTTCTTACTGCCCAGAAACAATCTTGACCTTTCTGCCAAGAAAGAGCAACACATGGGTAATGTTGCCACATCTAGCAGCAAACTGTACGGCAGCGGAGGGTTGGATTGTCAAGGAAAACTGTCCTTTGTTTTGTCCTTGTTCTATATTGATCTTTTGGCTGAGGATAAAATTCCTAGTTAGAAATCACTTTTGTGCAGTATTTTGAAGGTATTTTTATTCTCAAACTGTTTCCTTGCACATTCTCTATATTCTTTCTGAAGTTTCTGTTTTTTAGATGTTGGTTCTCCATTTTTTTCCCTCTACTGTTTTCTATTTTTTTGCGACTTCCCTTTCTGGTAAACTTGTCAACTTTGTCTTTCACCCCTTCTGTTGAGTTTCTGGTTACTACGATGAACAGTTTAATTCAGTTTTAAGTCAAAGTTTTAGTTTTCAAAAACTTTATTTTCTAAATATTCCTTTTTATTAGCATCCTCTTATTTCATGGATATAACTTATCTTTCTGAAGATACATGGAATGGTTTATTAGGAATGGTTCAGTTTTTTTTATTGAAATATCGTTGATACACATTCTTACACTGGTTTTAAATATACAACACTGTGGTTCAGTGGTTACCCATATTAAATTCTCACCCCCACTAGTGCAGTTACTGTCAGCTTAGGAAGGTGTTACAGAATCATTGGCTATATTCTCCATGCTGTACTAGGAATAGTTTAATTTTTTGAATAGGTAATATGTACACTTAGCTCATAAATTGAAAAAATACAAAAAGCAATACAGGGAAAAATAATATAGTGAGAGAAATTCAGGGGAAGGATAAGACTAGATCACCCACCTCTCTCCACTACTTGCTCAGGTCACCCTATATAGGTGATCAGTTTTATTGGTTTTCTTTGCTCAGTTCCTTTATGCAAGGAAAAACAATTATATATATTTTTTCTTTTCCCATTTTACAAAAAGTGGCATACTGAGCACACTTTTGCATATTATTTTTTTAATGCTATGTAAAACAATACATGCTATGAACAGTGAAGTGGTGAACGTCCTTGTCGTGTCTGTCGTTTCTTTGGTGTATATAAGAGGTGGAATTTTCAGTTCAGGCTTTTAATCAAAGGCAGTCTCAGCTGAATCTCAGTGAACTTCTGCTTCTGCTTCTGCTTCTGCTTCTGCTTCTGCTTCTGCTACTGTTTGGCAATACTTTGATTGGGTATCTTAATAGTTTGTAAAAGAAAGGAAGAATGGGGTGAGGCAAATCTTTAATTGGTAAAGCAGCCATCATTCGTGTTAGCTAAATAAAGGGGCTTTGGTTACGTTTGTGATTTGAACTAAAATTTTAATTTTTGTTAGTGTTCAGACATGATTATGGAGAGGTTTTGGTTTTGTCAAGAGAATAATCTTGTTTGAAGTTGGTGTTTTGTTTTTGTGTAATAGGAGAATACCGTGACCTAGCTGATCCTGCCTGGATAGCTCCTGGTTCTGAGACCTGATAGTGGCAGGCTAACTCCAAAATCAAGGGCTGCTTTTCTCCTTATTGTAAATGTAATGTAAAAATTGACTCAGAAGCAAAAACCAAAAGAAAGCTTGGGTTGCAATTTTGGGAACAGATCAGGAGGAATTTAAGATGAAAAATACCCAAAGGAATGGGAGAGAGTGGTTCAAACAAAAGTAATAATATACCAAGAATTATAAAAACTGTCAACATTTATTTAACTAACACTATATCTTTGAACTATATTAATAAAATGAACAGAAATCATACAATTGACCATTTTATCAACTATTCTCAAAAACTTACTGGTCCAAGCAGGCAAAAAATATAAACCTTTGCTATAATATTGATTCTATTTTCTGACCAAGAGCATAAAATTGGAAATAAAATGTAAAAGACTTTTGTACATTGTGAGTGGACTTAATGCCACTGGAGTGTACATTTAAATTGTAAATTTTATGTATGTTTTACCATGATTTTTTTTTAGTAGATATATATTTACTTTTAATAAGAATTTAAAAAAAGATTGGCTTTCCAACTCCAAGTAGTGGCTTTCTCTCTTAAATTATTCAGTCCCTGAGATTATGGTTGCCTGAAGTTGTACTGCATAAAGTCACTGTAAAATACAAATATACATGTCACACCAGGTATCCTCATTTGCAAAACATCTGTGAGATTGTATTATGACTTGCCACTGAAAGAAAAGGCTCTCATTAAAAAGAACATTTTTAAAAAAAGAGCCTAGTTTAGACTTTATAAAATAGACCCAATGCAGAGAAATATGGTTTGTAAAGCAAAGACATTTTAAGAATACGGCCACTTAGAATATTTGACTTGGAACTAATACACAGATTCATCAAATCTCCAAGCCCTGTGGAATTTCAATTAGCTACTTGCCAAGAGCCATAGATAGTATAATATAGCTGTACAGAGGAAATACCATCTGCCTCTGCGACCAAAAATCACTCTAGTATTGATGCCTATGCTTCCTCAGAGCTCCCTTGATTCTGCCAATATCATAGTTATGGTTAACCACAGAGAACTTCTCTGTGAATGTCCCCAACTACAGAGACTATAGGTAGGCCAGCAAGGCAAGGGATTCACAATAACACTCATTATGCTGATAGTCTATGGCACAGCTGACCACGATAAGACATCATGAACAAATGCCCAAAATTGATGGGAACTACTGAACCCTTGCCAGTGCCTGTGGCAAACTAGACATCTAAGCTTTTCCAATTATGCTATCTTTGCTGATCAAGGAAGAATGTAATGTAGGATAGTTAATGTAAGAACAAACTTGCTGTATCTCCCATTACCAGAACCTCTGAGATGATACCAGCATGATCAAAAGAAGTACATAACAACTATGGACATTAAGAGATGGTTTTCATGTAGTGAAAGCGTTCTTTCCCCAATCAGCCATGTAACTTATGGGTAAGCTTTTGTGATCGCCTCTCACTTTAAGATGATCCTAACAGGATTCTGTGTACCTACAGGATTAAATCTAGCTTTCATCAAGTAACTGACGACTCATTACTGGTTCTGACTGCTGCTCATTTTAACCAGCAGTCAGCATGAGGCAAGTTAGTATTTGTAGTATGGCAGGGCCCAAATATCATCTGTGTCAGAGTAATTAGTAGCATATAAAAAAATCCACTCTAGTTAGTTTAAGAAAGAAAGTATTAATTATAGGATTTCAGAAAGTTCACAAAGTCTTTGGAAGGGTTAGAGAAGCAAGCTCTAGACTAAGCTTCCAGGAAAAATATCCAGAACCACATATTACAGAGCCAGTCCAATAAAATTGGTCTCTGG